GCAGCCGAGTCCAGGGTGGTTTTGCAGAGTAGGAGATTTCTCTTCTGAAGCCGGTGAGAGCAAGGGCTAGGTGCTCTGAAATTGCGGGTGACTCCGCAGACGGTTGCTTGCGAAAGGGAAGATGTATTCTTGTCGGCTCAGTTCCTAGGTGTCTCAAGGCGAGTTTCTTGCTTTTCCTGATAAGGTTGGCGACGCATTCGATTCCTGGGGAGAATGCACGAGCAGGTCTCCCGAGGACTACCCATTGGATCGGCCGGGACTTTTCGGTAGGCCCTTGTGCCAGTGCCGTCACTCCGCCCTTTGGTGTGAAGTGGACGTATAAGTCCAGGGGCATGGCCGGGTTCCACCTGGCTAGCGTGCTAGTGGACATCTGCTGGTCGATGAAATCGAGGGAGCTCGCCGCTTGCGGTGTCAGCTCCTTGGGTTCCCAGGGGTGTTGTCTCTTCAGGAGGTCATATAAAGGGTCCATGACCTCAGGGGGGATCGGGACAATGTTACGGACCCACTGCAGCGATCCTACCAGGCATTGCACATCGTGAAGTGTCCTGATGTCCCGGTTGATCTTTACCTTGGGAGGAGTCACGTAGGAGCTTGTGATTCCCACTCCCAGGAAGGTCACGCAGGGCCCTCTCTTGACCTTTGCGCTTGCGATCTCGAAGCCGTTGGCCCGGAGGGTTTCTATGATTGTAGACACTAGGTGGTCTACCTGACTCGTCGATGGTGCAGCGACTAGGATGTCGTCCATGCATTGGATGATGGTTGTGGCAGGGTAGGAATGTCGGACTGGCATCAGTGCTCTGTCCACGGTGACCTGGCAGATAACAGGACTGTCCACTAGGCCCTGTGGAAGCACCCTCCATTGGAAACGGAGGTTGGGCCGATTACCGTTTGGAAACGCAACGGAAAAGGCAAAGCGTTCTTTGTCGTCCGGATGCAGGGGTATCGAGAAGAAACAGTCTTTGATGTCCAGTACTGCGCACGGCTGTCTTTCAGGGATAGCTGAATTCATGGGTAGCAGTGTCTGGACTGGACCCATGGGTCGAATCGTCTTGTTCACTTCTCTCAGGTCGTGGACGAGACGATAACCCTCTCCGGACCTTTTGGGGATTACAAACACAGGGGTGTTCCATGGACTGGTGGAGGGTTCTATGTGACCCTTTTGCAGTTCACGGTTGACCAGTTCCAGCAAAGCTGCCACTCGAGGCTCTGACAAAGGCCACTGCTCCCTCCAAATAGGATCTGATGATTTCCAAGTCAATTTGATCGGCAGCTGAGGGTGTATAGCAGTGGCCCTTATGATAAATTTGTAATCTTGACTCCTAGCATAGCAAGGACGTCTCTTCTTATTAGTGGCGAAGAGTTTTGCAAAATGTAGGGGTAAATCGCTACTGTCTGTTCTGGTCCCTTGTTTGTGTGAAGTGTTATAGCCACCAGCTGGGTGCTTTTCCACGCCCGGGTTTGTCCCCCCACCCCGTTCACTGGAGGGACTTTCTTAAACTGCCAGTGCCTGGGCCAATGCAACTGGGGGAGAATCGTGCAGTCTGATCCCGTGTCTACCCAAAACTGAAGTCCTACAATGTGGGGGTCCTGACTGCCATAGAGGCGGCATGTCTCCTACATCATCAGGGGTTCCTTCCCTATTTTCATGGCCAGGGCCACCCAGGGGTCCCAGTTTGGGGCGTCCCTTGCTGGTCCTGTAGCGCTTGCGTGGCTTGTGATGGTGGGGGGTGCGAGGGTACGGTTGGTGGTACTGCATAGCCCTGCCATTGTATCGCTGGCGGGGGTGCGATACTGACTGCTTCCTGTGGGAGCATAGGGTGTGAAGATCCCCTGCCCCACTGTGGGTTGGCATAGATGGGCTGTCTCGCATCTATAGCGGGAGGGGGCTGAATCTCGCACGTCTTCTCCCTCTCAAAAAGCATACGGCTTATTTGCACTATATCAAAAGGGAGTAAATCATCATTGCTAAAGACTATCCACGAGAGTGGAAACCATCTCTGAGTTAATTCTTTTTTCTGAAATAGCTTTTACTATTGCCTGAATGTCTTTGGAATTAACGGGAGTATACGTTCTTTGCTGGTTCTCCTGGGGTCCTGTGATTCTCACCGGGAAGGCATGCACTGATGCTGCGGGTGCCCATCCCGCGCATTCAATTTTGATTTTACCCCAATCGGTGAGTTCGTATTGGGGCTGGTTCCCGACTGTGTTAAAAGTTTTATTTGGTTTCGTCTGAAACTGCATTGATTCTGTTTTCTCTGCTTCCGAGTCGCTGCTGGACTCGGTCGGCTCTGCAGGGCGGTCTGGGGAGCTGTGGTTCTCTTCAGAGTCGAAAGTTGACTGCCAATAAACTTCCGGTTTCCCCTGCCTTTTTGTTCGGCTTCGGCCCCACTCCTCCCCTCGGGGGCGGTGCCGCTCCCGCTCCCGCTCCCTGGGCTCGCCCTGCCTCCCGCAGGGAGGGATCTCTCCCGTAAATGGTGACGGCAGTGGGCATGGCTCCTGAGCGAGTGCCCGCCCTCTGTTGCACTCTCACGCATGTGTGTCTGCTGGGCTCTACAGCTCCCGGCCGGGCATGGGCTCAGCGCTGGTTTCTCGTGCATGCGTGTCTGCGGCTGGCTGCGTTTTTGGGTTCTTCCCGCCGCAGGCCGACGGGCTCCACTCTTCTTCCCGGCCACCCGCGCCGTGTTCAAATGGGAAAGGCGGCGGATCTCCTCCGCTGCCCGCCCGCGCGCTTGCCTTCTCGATATTTCGGGCTTCTGCCGCCAATCTCTCCCAAAAGGACCGCACGCGACCCTCTGCTTCTTGCTCTAAGTCGGCTAGCGGCAGGGAAGGGATAGGCGAGGGGCCCGCGGGCATTCCGGGGGGTTCCGGAGGGGGTTTGGGCCCCGGCAGGTCTCCCGAAAGGGTCAGGGGGTCCCCCAGGGGCTCCGGGGGCTCTGGGCTCGGGGAGGGATGGGATGCGCCCGGCCCCTGCATCTCCCCGCTTTCAATTGGGTCGCCACCAGGGGAGTTTCGCGTTATCACCCCCTCCCCCAGCTGTGGCGTGATTAACAAACAGGAACGCGCAGCGTTCCACGTCTCCTGTTCTTCTAATGCTTTGCGTAGGGCTGCTTCTGCCTTCTCTCACGCTTTCAGGCTTTTGCTGCTGCCTGTGGCTTTTGTGTCTTCTGCTAACGCGACAGTGCATTTCTGCTACGCTTCAGACTGCAATATATCTATGGGTCGGTCAATGACCCCGAGCTCGAGGAGTCTCGTTAAAGTGAGATTAAAATTCTTGAGCTCACATTTGATTCTCTATTGCATATGTATCGAACTTACGACCTTCGCTATCGCTTCCATACGAATCGCGGGTCCCGGGGCGTCCCCCTGCTTCGTTACAGTCGTTCCGGCGCTGTGGATGCTGTCCCCTGGCCAGGAGTACCCCCGTCGCCCGGACTCGTCGCTCCCGGGTTTCGGCATCACTATGTTGCCTTCTTGTGAAGGCCGCGATGACCTGGTTTCAGAGTCCGGCACTGCGATCTCCTCCTTGGGATCCCTCGTGGCCAATAACGGACGCTGACACCAATGTGGTGGACGGTTAAAGGCCTTTATTGAGGGGTCTAAAGGGTATTTATGGACTAAGGGGTTTCTCTACGTCAGACAGGGGTTTGGCTATACATTCTAGGGTTAGTATGGAGTGGAAAGTTACTGGCATCCATAGGTTAGGGGGGCTACCTGTTTGGCTACATTCTAAGGGTGATCCTTATCTATGGGGAGGGGGGCAGAAGGATTCCTGTAATTTTCCGTTACAGCCCGAAATCTTCCGAACGCCTGTCCCTTACTACTACACAAGGGCATGAGAGAAGCTGAACGGGAATTGTAATCAGATACTCACAGAACATTCTGAGTTGAAAGGCACACACAGGATCACCAAAGGAATGTTGGAGCATTTACAGAGAGTCCAGAACTGTAACTTTGGGTGGTCAGTGTCTCTGCTGGGAGCCTTCCAAAGGGCCCTCAGCCACTCCTCAGCCCTGGACAGCAGCAGCATCACCTCTGCAGGGCCCAGCAGGGCTCTCCTGAGCTGCCCTTGCCCAGCTGCACACAGAGCCTGCCCCAGCCAGGGCCCTGCACACAGGCAGGTTTCTGTAGGGCCCCAGCCAGGGCACACAGGCTGGGATGGGCTCTGTGAGCGCTGGCAGGGACAAGGCTCCTCTCAGGAGGGAATGTCCAGGCCCAGGGAGATGCTCAGGGAAGGAGAGGGGGCTGAAGAGAGCAGTGCTGGGGGCACGGGGGAGGGCAGAGCTGCCACAGCTGAGGAAATGCTGCTGGGTTTGCCCAGGGAGCCGTGAGTGTCCTTGGCACAAGGGGGTGCTGAGACCTTGCCCAGAGACCTCGAGAGAGGGTGAGACATTCAGGGATCCCTCTGCTCTGGGCAGGGTCTGGTTTATCCCAGGGTGACCCAGGAGTGTGGTTGTGCTCTGATTGCAGCCAAAGGTTTTCCCACTGCAGGTAGAAGGGTGAGTGTGTCCCAGCTGTAGGGATTTTCTACAGGGAATGGCCCAGGTTTGGCTCAAAGCAGCCTCTGCTGACTTGTGACTGTCCTTTCTCCATGAACAGGTGCCCATGGCCAGCCCCAGCAAATGTCCAACAGCAGCTCCATCAGGCACTTCCTCCTGCTGGCATTGGCAGACACGCAGCAGCTGCAGCTCCTGCACTTCTGCCTCTTGCTGGGCATCTCCCTGGCTGCCCTCCTGGGCAATGGCCTCATCATCAGCGCCGTAGCCTGCGGCCACCACCTGCACACGCCCATGTTCTTCTTCCTGCTCAACCTGGCCCTCGCTGACCTGGGCTCCATCTGCACCACTGTGCCCAAAGCCATGCACAATTCCCTCTGGGACACCAGCAACATCTCCTACACTGGATGTGCTACTCAGGTTTTTTTTCTGATCTTCTTTATGGGAGCAGAGTATTTTCTCCTCACTACTATATGCTATGACCGCTACGTGTCCATCTGCAAACCCCTGCACTACGGGACCCTCCTGGGCAGCAGAGCTTGTGCCCACATGGCAGCAGCTGCCTGGGCCTGTGCCTTTCTCAATGCTCTCATGCACACAGCCAATACATTTTCCCTGCCCCTTTGCAAGGGCAATGCCCTGAGCCAGTTCTTCTGTGAAGTTCCCCAGATGCTCAAGCTATCCTGTGCCAAATCCTATCTCAGGGAACTTGGGCTTCTTGCTGTTAGTGTGTGTTTATCTTCTGGATGTTTTGTGTTCATTGTTTTCTCCTATGTGCAGATCTTCAGGGCTGTGCTGAGGATCCCCTCTGAGCAGGGACGGCACAAAGCCTTTTCCACCTGCCTCCCTCACCTGGCTGTGGTCTCTCTGTTCCTCAGCACTGGTACATTTTACTACCTGAAGCCCCCCTCCCTGTTCTCCCCATCCCTGGATCTGGCCCTGTCAGTTCTGTACTCGGTGGTGCCTCCAGCCCTGAACCCCCTCATCTACAGCCTGAGGAACCAGGAGCTCAAGGCTGCAGTGTGGAGACTGATGAGTGGATGCTTTCAGGAACGTTAAACTGTTGGCCAATTTCTGCAAATCACTTGTAATAAAAGTTACCTTTGATCCTTCTTGTTGATTTAATTTTGGAGGTTCTTTTCCTTTGTTTCAGTATTTTCATATGGTCCAAAAAGAAATGTCAATCCCTGTCCCATTTCTCATTTTGTTTCTCTCCACCATCCCTGTGCCCACAGACTGTGTCAATGAGGGGCTGTGCTCTTGATGGCTTTAAAGGAACTGAAGGATGTCCCAGCAGAGTTTTCTGCAGAGATGCCCTTGTGTTGCCATCTCTGGAGCTGCAGCAGCAATGTCTGTGTGCAGAGCTGGGGCAGATCAGTGCTGGCCCAGCAGCTGTGCCCAGCAGCAGCAGCAGCAGCACTTGGTGTTGCCAGTGCTGCTGCCGTGGCCCTGCCCTGCTGCCCTGGTGGCCCTGGTGTTGCTGCAGGGCCTGAGTGCTCTCGGGGCCGGGCACAGCCCTGGGGGTGGCAGTGCCGGGGCTGCAGCAGGGACAGGCCATGGGCACTGCTGGGGCAGCGCTGGCGCCTCAGGCCAGGCCCTGGGGGCTCCAGGCTCCTTGCCCAGGCTCTCTCAAGAACACGGCCAGGCCAATGCTCAGCACAGAAACCCCCGTCAGCAGCCCCAGGCTGGCCATGGGCAGGCTGGGGGCAAACAGCATGGCTGGGGCTCTGCAAGGGCCCTGGGGCAGACGGGAAGGAGCAGCAGAGCAGGGGCTGATCCATCCCCAGCGCGCTGCACAGCCCAGGGCAGCATCCCAGAGCGTCCTCATGCAGCTGCCAACAACATCCCCCCTTTGCAGCCCTGGCCTCTCCCCCAGCTCACACAGGCGCCCCATCCTTGCAGGCACAGGCACGGCAGCACTGCCTCAGCAGCCCCTGTTTGCATTGCACACAGCAGGCGGGAGCACCCCCATGCTGTAGCTGTGGGGACATGAAGCTGAGGGAGCACAAATGCCATCAGCCCCTGGGGCCAGCAAGGGCTGGGGGACACCAGGGAAACCAGTCAGCTTTGTCCTGGCCTCGGCAGTCAGCCAGAAAGTTTGTTCCCATCAGCTGGGAGTTTCCTGTGCCACAGCAGACGCTGTTGCTCAGAGCCAGGGCTGCCTGGCAGCCACCCCCAAACTGCCCTGAGCATTTCCTTGGTTTCTCCTTTGCTTTCTCCACTCTTCCTGCTACAAATTTCTTCCTCTAGCCCAGCCCTGTTCCCTCTCCTGCAAACTGCCCATCCCTGTTTGCCCTTTCCTCTCTGGCCCCACTCCCCATTGCAGTTCCTGACTTGGCCCCATGGGAACGTCCCTTGGGCAGCAGGATCATCCTACAAGTGCTGCAGGAATTGTCTGCAGGCTCCTGCAGTGCCTGGTGCTGCTCCCTTGCCAGAGGCACCCCAGGCCAGGGGGGCACATCTGGGCTGCTGTGTCTGGCTCTGGGGCTCCCTGTTCTGGGCAGTGAGGAGGAGCTGCAGAGGCTCTGCAGGACTGACAGGATGGGCTTTGGGGCTGCCAGGAGAAGCTGAGGGACCTGGGCTGCTGGAGCTTCTGAAGAGCAGGCCCAGGGCTCATCCTGAAACTGCTCCAAGGGTGGTTCCAGAGAATCCCAGAATGAGCAAGGCTGGAAAAGACCTTGGAGATCATCAAGTCCAAACTGTGCCCTGACACTGCCTTGTCTCCCCTGAGCCTCCTCTTCTCCAGGAAAAACAACCCCACCTCCCTCAGCTGCTCCTCACAGGACTTGTGCTCCAGACCCTTCCCCAGCCTTGCTGCCCTTCTCTGGGCATGCTCCAGCCCCTCCATGTCCTTCCTAAATTGGGGGGCCCAGAACTGGACACAGCACTTGAGGTGCTGCCCAACCAGGGCTGAGCACAGGGGAAGAATCCCTGCCCTGCTCCTGCTGGCCACACCATTCCTGATCCAGGCCAGGAGCCATTGGCCTTCTTGGCCACCTGGGCACACTGCTGCCTCATGTCCAGCCTGCTGTCCATCAGTCCCTGCAGGTCCCTTTCTGCCTGGCTGCTCTCCAGCCACTCTGTCCCCAGCCTGTAGTGCTGCAGGGGTTGTTGTGGCCAAAGTGCAGGACCCGGCACTTGGACTTGTTAAACCTCACCTTGTTGGATTTGGACCCTGGATCCAGCCTGTCCAGGGCCCTGTGCAGAGCCCTCCTACCCTCCAGCAGATCCACACTCCCAGACAACTTGGTGTTACCATGGTTGCATGATACCCTAAAGTGTCACAATCTCCATGACTCCATGAGGCCTCCCAGTGTCACAATGTCCCTTTGGTTCCATGGGATCCCTTGGTGTCACAAAGTCCCTTGGATCCTTGGGGCCTGCAGTGTCACAATTGCCCTTGGTGCTCCCAGGCCCTGCAGTGTCACAATGGATCCTTGTTTCCATGAGGTCTGGCAGTGCAGCAATGCTCTCCTTGGTTCCACAGTGTCAAAATGGCCTCTTGGTCCCAAGGGCCACCACGGTGTCAAACATGATTCCTTCATTCCAGGAATCCCTGAGGAGCAGCCCTGGCCCCTTGGTTCCATGGGGCCCTGCAGTGTCACCATGGCCATCGTGACACCAGGTCCTGCTCTGTCACAATGCTCTGCATGGTTCCACAAGGCCCTGCAGTGTCACAGTGGCCTCTGTGGTGCCACCAGGATCCAGACTGTCACCATGGACTCCTTGCTTCCATTCAGCCCCACAGTGTCACAATGGCCCCTTGGCTCTGTGCTGCCATGTTGTACACAGTGTCACCATGGTCCTCTTAGTGCCACCAGGCCCCGCAGTGTCACAATGGCCCCTTGGTGCTCCCAGGCCCTGCAGTGTCACAATCATCAGAGAATCAACCAGGCTGGAAAAGACCTTGGAGAGCAACAGGTCCAACCTGGCACCCAACACCACCTTGTCACCCAGACCATGGCACTCAGTGCCCAATCCAGTCTTTCCCTAAACACTTCTAGGGATGGTGACTCACCCACCTCCCTGGACAGCCCATTCCAATGCCCAATCACCCTTTGTGTCAAGAATATTTCCAAAGTCCAGCCTAAATGTCCCTGGTGCAGCTGAAGGCTGTGTCCTCTTGTCCTGTCACTGTTCCCTGGGAAAAGATTCCAAACCCCCACCTGGCTGCACCCTCCTGTCAGGGAGTTGTAGAGAGTGATGAGGTCTCCCCTGAGCCTTCTCTAGGATATACAACCCCAGCTCCCTCAGCTGCTCCTGACAAGACTTGTGCTTCAGACCCCTCCCCAGTCTTGTTGCCCTTCTCTGGACATGCTCCAGCCCCTCCATGTCCTTCTTAAATTGGGGGGCTCAATACTGGACACAGCACTTGAGATGCTGCATAACCAATGCCCAGCACAGGGGAAGAATCCCTGCCCTGCTCCTGCTGGCCACACCATTCCTGATCCATTGGAATTCCAGGGGTTGGATGAGGGAAATGGTGGGGAGGGAGTGCGGACAAAGTGTTATTGATTGTCAGCCATAAAGGGTTTTGATTTTTTTTGATATCTGTTCAGACTGGATTATGAGGTGCTAGAGGTCAATATCAAATGGACATTGCGCATACCAATCTACAAATAGGAAAAGAAAACTTAACATGACAAAACACTTCTCTCTGCATTGTTTTCAAGACAGTGTATTTACTTACAATACATGTCTGAAATCTGTCTAATTATTCAGAGAATAAATAAAAACCTAGAATATTCCCTGTGGCTTTTGTTGTTCTGGAGTTTTTGAACAAATGTTTATGAGCTTTCCTCACTGAATTCCTGAACTGAAGAGCTCAAGAAAGAAGAGGCCTCTGGAGAAGTAAAACTCATCAGCAACCTCCAAGTGGCTGAGGATCCATCCCCATGAGAGCAGCAATGAACAAAAATGGGCACAGCTTTGTGGCTGCCCCAGCTTTGGCATGGGCCCTAGGCCTGGAGCAGGAGCAGCTCTTGAGGGCCCCAAGGCTGGGGCTCTTGTGCTGCCCTGGGCAGATGGGATGGCAGCAGGGGCTGCAGAGCTCTCAGCACCTCAGCCAGAGGGGAACAGGGCAGCCAGGGAGCCTCCTTTGGCCTTGGCCAAGCACCTTCCCCCATGGCTAGGGCTAAGTCCTCTATCAGCTGGAGCTGCTGCTGTGCCATTGCCAAGGGCTGAGGCCGTGGGGCCAGTGCCCAGAGCAGTCTGGCCTGAGCAGAGCTGTGTGGCCAGAGCCGCCTGGGCTGGGCTGGGCTGGGGAGAGGCGCTAGGTGCTGCCCAGAGCTCAGGGCAGCTTATCCAGCAGGGCAGCATTGGTCTTGGTTTTGAAGATGGGAGGGTACGCTCTGAGCACGGTGCCCATGCCGCTGCTCTCTTCCTCCCGCATCCTCTTCATGAATTTGCCAACCATCTATAGCAGAAGGGCAAGAAGCCGGGAATGTTGCATGGAGTGCTCCGAGCACGGTGCTGGGCTGAGCAGTGACAACAGGCCCAGCGCGGCTGGGGATGGCTGCAGGTACCTGCGCCGTCGTGCGGAAGAGGCCACGGGTGCGTTCCTGCCCTTGTGCGCGCTGCACGGCTGCACCTGGCAAAGAGCGAGCGCAGCCTGAGCTGAGGGGCTGCGGGAGAGGCCGGAGAACACAAGGCCAGCCCTGCGCTCCCCAGGCAGGGACAGCCCTGACATGCCCAAGGGCATGGAGCATGGCTGTGGGGTGTCTGTCCCTCCCGGCCCCTGCTCTGTCCTTTCCATGGGCATGTCGCCAGGGGATGGGACGGGATGGGATGGGATGGGATGGGAGGGGATGGGATGGGATGGGATGGGATGGGATGGGATGGGATGGGATGGGATGGGATGGGATGGGATGGGATGGGATGGGGCCAAGCTGGCTTCAGGCACCAGCCCTGTGGCCCACCTCTGCCACTCACCCTTCTGCAGTAGCTGGAACTGCTCTTCAGGCTGCTGTGCTGGAGCAGTTCCAGGGCCTTGTTTGTCCTCCTTCTCCCAGGCCAGTTTGGGCATGCTCGCAGGTCTGTGCTCTACGTCACTGCCTGGATTCATGGCTACTTGCAGGAGAAGATGGCTGGGAAAAGGTGGGAGTCAGCAAGTGCTGCACTTGTGCCTTGAAGGCACCTGCAAGAGTGAAGTCTTGGCAAGGCTACAGGACAGCAAGTCCTGCACTCTGGTCTCGAGGCCTCCAGCCACAAGGACAGGAGACTCCTCGTCAAGGACCGTGCTCAGCCAAGGCCACGCTCTGCCCTCAAGGGCACCTGCAGAAGAGAAGCCTCGGCAAGGCCAGAGGTCACCAAGTCCTGTGCTCTGGCCACGAGGTCACCTGCAGGAGTAACGCCTCGGGAAAGCTGCGGGTCAGCAAGGAACGAGGGCACTGTGCTCTGTCCCGTCCTGTCCCGTGGCGTGCACCGAGCACTGTGGTGTGGCCACGTCGCTGCCAACACCCATGTCACCGCATGTCACAGAGGTCCTGTTCCATGGAACGGTGACTTTGCAGCACCGTGTCACAAAGGGCCCTTCCACACCCTGCCACCTGCCCTGGGGCCACCCCCAGGCCCCCCAAAGTGGCCCAGGTTGGAAGGAATGCCTTGCCCCAAGTGTCTCACACAGCCCGACAGGATCTTTAGGAACGGCTCAAACCATAAGCAAAGGCTGCCCTGCTCGGCAGGCTCAGGGCAGCAGGAGCCCCCGTGGCTGCTGACCCAGCCGTGGCGGGAAGGGCACGGGGCCTTCCACAGAAGCTGGCACGGCCTCCTCGGGACACGTCCCGCATGGTGGCCACGCTAAGCGCGGCCGTGGGACAGAGACAAGGAGCGTGTGAGCCAGGGCACAAATGCTGCTCTGAGCCCTGGGGCCCAGGGAGCCCTGAGATCAGCAGGTGTGACAGAGTCCCCGCCAAAGCAGAGTCCCCCCGAGCCCCTGGCAGTGCTGGTGCCCATCTCCTGCCCCGAGACCTGTGCCTCCAGAGGGCTTCTCTGCAAGAGGGCAGCCAAAGCCGACTTTGTGCACTAGGGCCTGTGCTCCATCCTCCAGGGGCTCTTGCTAGGAGCACCTGGAGCAACTGGTGGCAACACTTGGTTGCCAGATGATGATGCCACGTGTCAGATGATGTTGCTCCTTTCTGGAATGATTTCTTCAAGGAAGGGATTAGCAGTAGCACAGAAACAAAAACAGCTACCGAATTTCACAGGACAAAGAGCCTCCACCAAAACACTGTCATGTTTCCTTGTGCTTTTCTGTCTTTCTTGCACTCGGAAAGAAAAAGAATTGGCCCAGCCTCTGCTATTCAACGCTCCACTTCCTGTGTGTCTTCCTGTGGCAGCTCACGTGCAAACGCAACTGGCTGCCGGCTGAGCATGGCAAAGGACGGCCACAAACAGGGAGGTCCCTGGTGAACATCAAGACAGACACCTGGGGAAGTGCAGAGGATAGGAATAACTCTGGCAGGAGAAGCTGTTCTGTGTCTCTGATGATGCTGTCAGCCCCCTGAAGGAGCGGCCAAGACAAGTGCTGGAAGCAGCCATGTCCTGCACTTTTCTGCACTCAGATGCACACGGGACAGACTTGTTGCCCACAGGTGCACCAGACTTGATCCGGGAACCATGGAAGCCCATGCATTGGTAGGAACGGGCTCCAGCAAGAGCAAAGCAGGATCTTCCAGCAGCAAAGCCTGAGCATGTCCTCAGCAGATACCAAAGTGCTTCCCTCCAGCCCTGAATGGTGGCCACAAGTGCCTTCCTTTCTTCAGCGCCTGCTGCTGCTTCCTTTGTTCCAAGCCAGTCCAGGATTTAGGTTGGAAGCTCATGCAGGTGTTTTTAAGGCACTTGCATGGAGGAGAGGGACGGCAGCTGCAGCGCAGGGCTCGTGCTGCCTCTCGCCATGGCATCAATGCCGCTGTCTTGGGACGCCTGCCAGTGGAAGGCGAGTCTGCCCTCAAGCACGGTCACTGTAGTCAGTCAGGGGCACAGGCTGCAGCGGCAGCTGCCAGGCATTGCCGTGAGGCTGGCAAGGCAAGAGACAGCCATTGTGGTCGAGTGTGCGGAAGCCTTTTGCTAAATCCCACGCAATAGTGCCCAGAGTATGGCCCCTTTGGAATGGCGGCTGGTGCAGACGCCTCCTGGAGCAGGTGCCGGCGTTGGGGGTGCTGCTGTTCCTGTGCGCGCTCTGGTGCCGTTTCTGTGGCGTCCAGAGCAACTTTGGCAGCAGCGACTCAGCAGCCCTGCTCGAGGAGACATTGCCGCCCTGGCCACAGAGGCAGAAGCTCTGCGGGGCCAGAGCTCTGTGTCAGCAGGGCCTCATCCTCAGCACCATGGCCTGGGCAGCTGCAGGGCCCAGGCCGGCCGCCAGCCCTGCTCTGCCCGCTGCCCTGGCAGCAAGCAGTGACCTTGCCTCGGCAGGGCCCCCTTGGCCTCCTTGTCCCCAGCCAGGCCAGTCTGGGCACCTCGGGGGGTCCCCACCCTCCTGCTGAGGCCCAGCCAGCAGGGCTTCTGCCCCAGGCGTGGGAGCCTCTCTGGGGAAGCGCCCGGCTGTCAGGAACAAGGCTGACACCCAATTCCTCAGGGCTTGCCAGCAGCCCGGCCCCTCAGGGGCCTCCTGTCCCTTTGGAGCCTCCTGCCAGCCACTCCCTGCCACAGGGCCCTCCTGCACCTCGTCCAGCACCTTGTCCTGTCAGGGCCTCCGCAGCACCTCATCCCTTCACGGCCTCCCACCGCCCCGTCGTCCTCTCAGGCTCCCCCCAGCCCGGCCAAGCTGCCCGGCAGCGGCGCAGCCCCGAGGCAGCTCCAGAGGAGCCGCATCCAGAGGCACCTCAGAGGCCTCAGCATTGCAGCCGGCAAGACACGGGCAGGAGGACACACATGGCCCTTCCTGGCTGGCCACGAGGCCTTGTGGCCATCTCCAGGCACCAGTCTGGCAGGGATCCCTGCAGCTCCGGCACCTGCCCGGCCCCTCTGTCGCCAGCACAAAGGCTTCAGCAGAACCACCCAAGGCCAAGGGCCTTCTGGCCATTTCTCCTTCCCCACTCCACACCAGGGCTGCTCGCTTGGCACAAGGACCCGTTTTCCCTTCTTCCCCCGTGCCCTGCAAACGCTGGGCACCAAAGAGAGCTCCTGGGAGTCTGGCTATTAGAAGACATTCTATATTTCTATCCTAAAGAACGACAAAAAAGAAGGAATAAAACAATCTTAAAGCAAAGAAAAATCCCCCCGGCTCAGAAGGCCCCAGCAGACTGAGAGCCTCTCAAATCAGCTCTCCTCAGAGCTCCAGCAGCACAGCCAGCTGTGGCCCCAGGGACAAGGCCATTTCTTGCGGGCCCTGCCAAGTTGATCTTGCAGCTTCTGCAAGATGGAGCCCGGAGCTCTCTCCACAGCGCGGAGGACAAAGGCTGTTTGGAGAGCCAGGCTTCTGGTGGCAGGGCTGATGTCCTCTGCCTTGTCTTCAAGGGCTGCGAGAGAGAGGAACAGAGCCACGGTCAGATCCTGGATCTTTGGGGAGCTGAGGAGACCCCCGAGGCAGGGCCATGCCAGCCGGCTCTGGCCATGGCCAGGAGGGAGCAGGGAGCAAGGGATGAGCCTGAAGCTACCGGACACTATTGGCCCACGTGGGCCTGAAATGGGAGCCTGTGCTGTGGCCACGGCAGCCCTGCTGCGCACAGGGAGCAGAGGCCTGGGCAGCGGGGCAGGGATTGCAGCTGCCCCCGGCAACTGGGGCTGGCAGCCGTCTGGCCTCACTCACCCTGACAGATGTGGCGGAGCTGTCGCTTGTGGCCCCTGAGGTGGCGCCCGGCCATCCCTGAGAAGACAGAGCCTGTCAGGGCGCCAGCGGCACAGCTCCCTGCCAGCCCAGCGGCGCTGCCAGCCCTGTGGCCACACGGCCTCCTGGCCCCGGCAGGGCTCGGGCCGGGCCCTTGCCGCACACTGCCGCCCAAGGGCACGGCTGCCAGAGGGCGGCAGCAGCGCCGAGGCCAGGCGGGGCTCCACGGCGCCGGGCACGGATGGCGCTGCCGGGGCAGCAGCCGGGGCTGGGGCCGGGGCTGGGGCCGAGCTGCGGCGGGCCGGGGAGGGGAAGGGCAGCCCAGGCTGGTGGCTCACCGATGAACCTGATGGCCGCCTGTCGCAGGGACTCCTGTGGGCTCTCCAGGTACTGCAGGGCGTGGCGCACTTGCTCGGCCGCTCGGCTCCTGTCCCCTGCCAGCTGGAGAGAGCGGCAGGAGGGTGCACTTGGTGCAGGCTCAGCCCCTTGGCCGGGCGCTGCGTGCGGCCAGCACTGGCCACCCCTGCCTGCAGAGCCTTGCCAGGCAGCCAGCAGCCGCCGGCGCCGGGCTCGGACAGGGGCAGCGGGGCGGCTGCTTCCCGGGGAGCCGCGGTGCCGCCCCGCAGCCCAGCTGGGCCGGGGCTCCATGGGCGCCCGCCTCGGGGCCACAGGAGCCTGGAGCAGAGCCCGCGCGGCCCAGGGAAGGCAGCAGCGTGTGGGGTGCAGGCTGGCAGCCCTGGCTGCAGCGCTGGGCAGGGGCGCAGCTGCCAGCCGCGCTCACTGAGCAGCGCGGCCAGGGGGCTTCTGCAGCCCGAGGCTGGGGCTTGCAGGCCGTTCTTACCAGGCTCTTGCCCAACCTCCAGGTCTGATCCAGCTGCAGCATGTGTTGGAGATCCTTCCTGTGCAGGAATGTGGCTGAACAATGCAGCGTTTCCCGGGAGGCCTGGAGAGCAGCAGAGACCCCGAAATGGCACCACAGCCCAGGGCACAGGACCCGCACAGGTGCCTGTACCAAGGCCAGCAGGAGGCTGCAGCCCAGCAGGCGCCAGAGCGGGAGGCAGACCAGCCCCCCTGCCAGGGGGCCAGCGGCAGCCGCTGAGTCCTCACCTCTGCCACGCGCTGGTTCTCGTCATGGCAGTGGAAGAAGAGTGGCAGCAGGCTCTGGCGCACGTGTGCCTTCATGGCCTTTTTGTCCCTTTCTGGTAAAAAATACAGCATCTCTCGGAAGATGAACATGGAGCACAACTGCACTTGGCTGTCATCCTGTATGACAAGAAAGTAAAAGAGACCTCGGCATGGGCTGCTTGACGCCCACCTGGGCACAGGCCTGAAAATGCACGGGGCACAAAGTTTGCGGGCAGCAGCCGGTGGCCGTGGCTGGAGGCGCAGAGCCTTACGTTGTCAAAGAGCGGCAGGAGCGCCCCAGCCAGCTGCAGGGCGAGGGGCCTGGCTAGCGGGGCGCCATTGCACAGGAACAAACCACTGAGGAGAACCATGGTCATCCTAAGCATGTTGCTGTCATTTTCCTGCAGGAGCTCCACCAGCCTTTCATGCAGGCTCCACATTCTTACGGCCTGCGTGGAACACGAGTGTGTGAAACGCCATCCTGCTGCCACAGGGCCCAGAGGCCAAAGGGCTGTGCCAAAGCACTCGGGCAGCTGGAGCGGGAGGCAGGAGAGCTGGGAGCAGCTGCCTCAGCGCCCAAAGGCCAGCCAAGGCCAAGCCACTGCCTTGCCCAGCCCCACGCTTGCAGCATGGCTTCAGCCGCTGCCCTCTTCTCACCGAGACATTGGTGCCGAGCACCAGGAGGCCTCTGAGGGCCAAGCCACGCATCTCCCTGCACTGGCTCTGCAGGTTCTTGGACATGACCTCCAGGACGCTGTCACGGCATTGACTCAAGTCCAGGCAGTCCAGGATCTGAAAGGCACAAGGCCGCTGATGGGGGAGCCCCACAGGGCCGGGCCCAGGCAACAGCACAGGGCGCGGGCACCGTCCTGGGCTGCTGCGGCCACGAGAGGGCAGAGAGCCGGGAGGCAGCTCAGCCAGGCAGCGCTGGCCTTCAGGCTCACCTCCACAAGGAACGCCATAGCAGGCAAATCCCGGCATGGCATGTCTTTGTTGAGCAGCCCCAGCAGGTGGAATGCAATCGCGGAACACGAGGCTTCGGATGCGTGGTGCATTTCTCTGATAGGAGGAAATGGGAAGCAAAACCCTGAGGTGGCAGGGGTAAACCTCTGCCAGGACTGACTGACAGAGGTCAGGCCTTCTCCAGCACCCTGCAAGGGGGAGCCGGGCCCTGGTGCAGGTGGCTGCTCTTGGGCACGCTCTTCTCCCAGCCTTTTGCAGTCTCATTGGCCGTCCCTTGGTGACAAGGCCTTATGGCCCACCACCACGGGGCCCCACTGTGTGGGGCACCCCAGGCGCAGGGCACAAATGCCAGGGGCAGTTGGGGAGCAGGGGGTCTCACCTGGCCAGCACGCCCACAGCACAGTGGTGGGTGTCAGCACAGAGCAGCGTGTCCCAGCCACGCTGGTCTTCCATTGCCATCGCCACATCCTCATAGTGCAGTCGGCAGAGCAGGGCCTTCAGGGTCTGCTCTGCAAAGCTGTGTGCAGAACAAAGGCCAGGTGACGCCGGGGGCACTGGCACCTCCCCTGGGCACGCGGCAGGGACAGGAGGACTTGCATGGAGCACCTGTTGGGCTCGGTGGCAAGGCCGTGTTGCTGCTGGCATCCCTTC